CCCCCCCCCCCCCCTTTTTTAAAATGAAATCACTTCTCACTTTAAAGAACACTTTGCAGAAGGAAACAAGCTTCAAGGCACACACAGATTTAAACCCTGCTAAACACCTGGAGGAAAACTAACCTCAACGTAGTTAACATAGCTATAGTAGTCTCCCTTAAGATGCATATATGTCTGAAGCAGTTTGCCAGTGCGAAGTCTTTGAAAGGGACAAGTTTTTGGCAGCTTTCTTTTTGCAAGACTCTCCATGCTTTATTGAAAAACTCCTGTTTATACCAAGAGGGTACAATGTTTATAGCCTTAAAGCTTATTTTTGCAAAAGACCATTTCATTGAACTCACAGCCAACAGCGAAAAGGAGGACCAAAATTCCTGTTGTGAAATCAAGTATTCCCCAAATATTGAAACACAACATTAAATATTTTACCTCTTTCAATAAAAATAATTAACAACTTTGACTGTGAAACAATGTCAACATTCTTGAAAGTTTGAAACTCTTTCAAGAGCCACCCACATGTCGACTGGGACTCTACACACAGCTAAGCAGACAGATGCGATCAGACGGTGTAACATCTAATGAATTTAAAGTACAACACGCAGAAGCTGATTGCAAAAGCCAGTTTCTTCAAACATGAGGTGCAAAAGATCTATCTTTCACGAAAAGGATAAACATTTTTCTGTCGTCTTTGCTCTCCTAGTCTTTTTTAACCATTTCTCTTCTACCCTTCTACTGATGAAGTGTAAAATGGGATGGAAAAATGTCAGGAAAAGGGGGAGAAGGTAGAGAACCCAACATTCCAACTTCTTAAATTATTTTCATCAGATACTGCAATCGCAAATAAACAAAGGTCCTGCTTATGGTTTACGGCCAGAACATCCACAAAAGATTACTTGCTCATTCTGGAAAATCATAATTTCTACAAAGATAATTCATCAAAGAAAATAATAGCCCCTCCCATTAAAACTTCAAAAGGTGTCCACAGTTGTGGTCTGTGTCAAGATATAAACAATCTGAGTATCAGCATAAGAACCAAAATGACTACATAAGAGGGAAGAAGTATTTTTTTTAAATGGACAGATCATTCAACAGTTTATGTCTCACATTTGCAATGTTTAGATAAAGGAATTAGGAGTGGATAAACTGTAGAACTTACTGAAACAGGGCAAACTAAGAGCGGAAGTGAAGAGGGAATAGTTGAGAACTTAAGAACATGTCCATTTTGCTATTCAGGGAGATTAAAATTTCATTAAGACAATATATTAAAAAATATGGGTTTGCCCTACAGTTCTTGGCTAAAACTTTTGTGTGTTTTTCTGTTTGTTTGTTTTTACTATCTCAAAACAGGTATTTCAATGATTTTCTTTGTGTACAATTTCCAAAGCATTTGGGGATTCATTCGGTTAAAATATAGTAAATAAAATATAGTCAACAAAAGGAATGCAAGCAGTACAGCATATGACAGTTTACCTTCTGTATCCAGCTACTCATGTGCAAAACCATTCCTAACACACAGCATAAAATAATGCAGAACAGGATGCACAGAAAAATTATTTTTTATATTACCCATTTTAGAAAGGTAACTTGAAGATCAAGATAGATTTAGGAAAAGTTCTATGGCTTCTTTTTTGGGACAAAACAGGGCTCAGATTTCATACCATGCTGTAATGTTAGTTATTTTCATTACATAGCTCTCTAGAATGATGCAATTCTCATGAGATCATGCAATTCTGATGTGTATCAGAGATTATTTTTTGGGTTATTTTTGGGGGGAAAACTGTGAGAGTAATGGGGTTTTGCTTCATCTATATCAGAATTAGAAAGGATTTTTCTGTGACCAAAATGAAGGCCTGTGTTTAAAAATTCTAATATCCACAAAAAGGTCAGATTAATACATATTTTCTGCATCTATCCAATTTAAAGTGCATGAAAAATTCAATCACAGTTAGTATACAACTGTCACAAGCACAAAATTACAATTTAATTTTAGCAAAAATAACTTCAGCGTTTGCTGGATTGGAAGAAAGATCAGTTGGTAAAATACAGAGACTAAATCATATTGTCAATTAGTAAACACAATACTTCACTGTGTGAAAATAATCTTCATACTTTTGCAGACATATATCAAATCTTAAAGCACAGAACAGTCTGTGTATTTGCACAAAATATAACAACTGAAGATGAAAATAATTTTTTTTGCATTCTATGGTCATCCTAGTTTTCATATGCAGAGGTCACTGCCACAGGGAAATGTGAAATAGTTCAGAAAGAGCCAAAAAATATCCCACGTAGATAAATACGAAAAAGCATAACATATAGAACTATAACAACTGAAAACTTCCTAAATATTAATCCTCATTTTGAAAGATATTAACTGGTATTTCATAATCAGAAAGAGAGTATCAGAGAGCACCATATGAACAGAAAGGTCTACTGACAGCAGCCTATTTAGTCTCTGGTTGAAGGTGAAGCCTAAAGACCTTGCTGCACAAAATCACCACCTACAGAGATGGGCAGTATGTCTTGGCATAGTATGTCTTGGTGTGACATTATTCCTTTTTGTTTCTTACCTTCACCACTTTCCATGCCTTCGACAAAAATACCACCACATTGGGGCAGAATCCAGTATCGGCGCCTGTAACGATCTTGACCAAACATCATTGAACGCAAACAGTGTGAAGCTTCAAATAACTTCTTTCTGTACTGGCTTTGTTGCTGTTTTAAAAAAGGGAAAGCACTATAATTCAATAGGGGGCAAAAATTCGTTCTAACAGAAAACATCTCCTGGCTGCCAGACTGAACAAAGTTCAAGGGTCACGTGAGGAGGCTCTCTTAGAGATTCTATGTGTGTGTTATGTGATATTCTACTCACACCTGCTGCCTTGATGATTTTACTTACAGAGCTCCCTTTAAAAAAATCAATTCAATCACTTCCTGTTTCAGCTTAAGTTTATCAGTCTTCCTTTAAAAACACATTTTGCGATGGCAAGTCCTGTCTTTTTAACACTGGTTCTCAGAGAACAATAGGATCAAAGATTTCATTGCACAGGAACAGCTGAAATCCTATGAACTATTCAATAACAGCAAATGGTAAACAGAGCACTGAAGATAGCTGATACTGCAGCTCCTGATGGGAAACTAATGAGATATTTTAAGTGGTTCATAAAAGAATGAGAACAATAATGTCTGAAAATAAATTCTCTATTCAAACAAACAGTTCTCTGAGGGGGGCCAACAAGAATTTCAATTCGTTTATTCAATTCTTGCTCTGCTAAGTTGACACTGCTGGAAGTAAGGTGTAATTCTGGACTGCTAATTTATTGCAATTTGGAACATGAGAGAAATCAAGAGACAAAGTCGTAAACGATGAATTTTCTAATACGAAGAATAAAAACATGGGCCATGAGTACCCTATCTACCGCATTCTATCTTTCTCATTTACGTTTCTCTTCCTATTCCATTGTTTCAAAATCTGAAGCAAAGACAGCTCTCTGTATTGGCTTGGAGCTGCAGAAATTAGACAACTGTAGGAGGGAGTGAGAACTGCAATCATTTGTATAACGGAAAATTCATTGCTTCTCGTACACAGAATTTATCATCGCTTTTTAAGATCAACAAACAGAAGTATATCAATTAGGTCTGGACAAAAATTATACTACTTTTTATTCTAAGATGTGTGACTATACCATCAACAGCTTTCTAACTGTCTTTTGAGTCATATCCACCTAGTGCCGCTAGACTAAACTCACAATTCAGGTGTCATGAACAGTAGTATCGTTCATATTTTCATGAAACAACCTTATTTCAATTTATGTTAAGCTGGAGCATTGAAAATGATGGTTAACATTCTAACTCATGACATCCAGTGATCAAATTTGTAATATAACAAAGACAAATGACCTCTCACCTTTGTCAGTTTTTCAATCTGCTTCTCTAGTTCTTCAACACTTGCTGTCTGGTCCCCATCATCCTATAATCACCAAATATACTGTCACGCCGATTTTATTTCAGGATAAAATCATACTACCATGTCTTACTAATATTACAGTAAAAAGATGTGAGAGAAAATGAGAGGTAAATTTTAAGGGTAAAAAAAGTTCAAATTTTGTGCTTGTTCAATATATTTGACTAGGAACAACGTAACTGGAAAAAGACATAGCTTGAATCTTTCCAAACCATCCCAGAGGCATACGAAGGAGAAAGCTCGTGGTCAAATGTTCACTGAAAACATTCTTTTACTGGAACAAATAATTCAGTTTGTGCATGAACACTTAAGACTATAGAATTTCATCTTAGTTTCTATGAAGCTTTTTAGATATTCAAATTCATTTCTAAGTGTTTTTCATGCATGATATAATGGCATCTGTCAAAATCTTATCAGTCTTTGGTCAGTGCACACTTGCATTTTATTTCAATGCCTACAAGAAACTGTAGAGCCACTTTAAATGACAAATCTGCTATAAAAGTTTCAGTATTAATCTTGCTGATTTTTGAAGAGGAATGCACCCATGATTAAGTCTATGGTTCCCTTCTTCTTGACACAGTTTAAAAATGAGAGTAATTCCCATAAAGTGAGTTTTAATTTAGTTCAAGAAAGTCTTTGGGGGATAACAGTAAGTTTCCAAAGAATCCAACCAAAATCCTAGGAGCTCCCAATCACCTGCACCGTAAGATACTGGTCTTGTATTTCTTGGCTCTGTAAAAGTGTACCAGAGTGAAACCTTCTGAAATACCACATATAGCACGAATGCAATGGAACTTCTGTTGTATCAGAAAACTAATCTCTCTACAGGAGTTACAGGACTTTTGTCTATGAAATGTCCAGCGCACCAAAATAGGAAATTGTACTAAAGGAAAAAAGATTAAGGGACAGATGTGAGATTAGATACCTAAATATTACTTATTTTTAATTCTGAAGTATTAACTTCTAAGAAATTCATCCTATGCCTCTAAGGTATTCTCTTAAATTCATACATATTATAGTATTTGAAATAAATCCAGAGTAATAGCACAAAGGGCTGCGCCTACCTTAGAAACTAGTTGGGTTTCTAATGAAGAGTGTTTGCAAAGATTTGAGTTCACGTGTGATGTTGTATACATGCGTTGTTCAAGCGACCATATCCACAGCACCCATAAAACCTTACTTTGAACTTCGATAACCTTGCATAAATGGATCATTTTCTGGCAAACAATGCAACACCCAGATGGCTAAAATATAGTATTCGGTATTGCTTATCTCTTTTATCAGGTTTCATCCAGTTGAGAATTCTGGAGTTCTACAGTGAATCTTACAGGCCTGTGGCACTTCTATTAAAAAATCTTTTCACTATTGTAGATACAGTTCGGCTCAACAAGCTAAAAATGTTTCAGTGATCCTTCCTGTACCTTATCTGATATTAACTAGTAAAATTTATCATCTTGCGATCAAATACAGTCGGGCAGTCACTACCCTAGAAAAGTTATGAAAAAAATACACAGGAAGATCACAGGCAAGCTTTATAATAGATGATGTTAAATTTAAAATAATAAAGAAGTGTAAAGTTAACTAATAAATGTCCTTTATTCTCCTCCAAGAGAAAACTACAGTTATTTCATTTGCTAACAAAGCTGCAGTTCTCTGGATCTGGTACAATCTTTCAGAATTTCAGAAAAATTAAGACTAAGTCAAAAGAAGTAAGCAGAAAAAAAAAATACCACCCACAACCCAAACCAAAACAAACCGAACAAAAGAAACCCCCACCAACCCATACTATAAATAGCTATCAAAAAAAAGAAAAAAAAAAATACTCCAGAAAATAAACTTATTCCAAAAATTTAAAAATATTGGAGGTAAGTTATTCTTCCTTCCTTTTTATTGTGAGATTTTGGGGAAGCAATGCCATATTGCAGAGAAACAGAAGGAAAACAAGTTTTAACTTATTAGTTGATTAAGTTTCACTATACTTAAAATCCCCCCACCTCATCCTCACAAACTTCTGCCTTCTTTCCTTTTTTATCTTCTTTGTCCTCTTCATCCTCATCATCCTCATCTGCCTGATCATCACTGTCGTCATCATCGTCATCATCGTAATCACTGTCCCCCCCCTTTCGTCTGCGTTTGCGGCCTGGTGTTGGTGTTTCCAAAGAGTGCTGTTCCTCTCCTACGTCACCACCTCCTGTAGCATCTCTTTTGCCAGTTTTCTTGGCATGAATGATTCTAAGCCTTGAAACACATGACAAGGGGTGAAATGATGGACTATGTCTGTAGCATAAACAAACCTTTGTTCCTATGTGATTGAAAGCAAATCATACGTTTTAGGTTCAAATTAGCTCTTCTGTTCTAATATGACATTGTATTTTCTCAATATTTATTGCCATTAGTCAACAAGAAAAATTCAGGTTGTAAAACCCCTTAAGCCTCTTGCTCAGTTCTGAATAGAATTTCTGTTTCTCCCAGGTGAATTTTATTGCATAACTGTTTAGAAGAAATGAAACACAAGTGTGATTTTGAAAAGTCAGGAAAGACAATTAGAAGAAAGAACCATTTCAACTTATTTATCTTTTGTTTTATGCATTTAAGAATATGATCATAAAATACATGTGTTGGGGGGGAAGGCAAAAATCCTCAATTGGAAGTATGACATTATTTACATTTGCATGGCAACAGCGAGGTTGGTTTAATTTTTTTTTTTTCCATTTCAGAATTTTATGCATTTTTAATTTATTATGTATTATTTCACTTTAGTCCTTTGGCTGATCTTTTTATTCTAGGATATACTTTCTCTTCTGAGAAATCTTAGCTACCTAAACTACTAGATTACTCAAACTCTCATTTTTCCTTTTATGAAAGAAAAGGGAAACTTACATACCAGTAATTATGGTTGTAGTAGACCTTCTTCTTCTATAAAAACCCTATAAGACAAGATTCCACACAGCAGAAATTATAGTTCCACCTATCAGGGAGCTAGCAGGCAAACATGCTGAATCACAGGAGGTATAAATAGCCAAGGCCTAACCAGTCACTTATAAAGCAGACCAAAAATGCAACTGACTTAGAAGAGATTCATAAACATGTGTAGAAAAGACAAAGACTTTTTGTAAGAGATGACTGGAAGAAGGTAGGATGGGAAAAGTAGAACGGTAACGACAAACACAATTACCAGTACGTAATTTTTCCTTGTCGTACTTCTCTCTCTTCCCATCCTACAAAACAATATTCCATACAGCAAGTGGCTACAAGTATGATAAGTGTTGTAGAAGTACTGGCTTCTGGGCAAACTGACAAATGTATCAGCCTTCTAAAATGCTGATAAACAAAGCCAGTACTCAACAGCACAGATTTAAATGAAGCTGTCACTGCTCAATTAGTAGCAGCACTTTTTAAAAAGACCGTTAGCAAGAAATCATCAAGGGGAATTCCGTTTGCTTGAAAAAAGTTGGGCTTTGGTTTCTTTGTGTGTGTGCAGGGGGGTGGTGGTGGTTGTTTTTTCTTTTAATGCAGTGGTTAATCCACAGGAGAATTTAGAAAGTTTTACACTTTTTTTTTCCCCAATACAAATGGATTTTTAGGTATTTTAGCAATTTAAAGTATATTTTGATAAAAGAAAAATTCTCAAGCCTTCCAGTGAATTTGGAAGCAAGTAACATTTTCAGGTCTGGTGCAAAAAGCCTTAGTCTTAGTCTCACTGAGTATCAATACCACTCAGGCTTCCACTAAGTTAAGTTTTTTAGAAAAAAAATTTCCTTTTTACGAGGATAACTTCAAACCATCAAATCCTCTTCATCTGGACTGGAAATTCCTGCCTATACACAGGAATTAACTATCAAACAAAGCCACTACTCGATGATTGGATTAACTGCTGCGTGACTGGACAATTTTAGAGACAAATTAGACTAAAATAATCTTGAAGACAATTCAGTAATAAAGCTGGCAGGTGGAAGTTCAACAACCAGCAAACACCTCTTTCACATACCTAAAAGAAATGAGAAGAAGCAAAAAAGGCTACTTTTGCTGAAAGCAGAAATAGAGATGTAATGCTGTCAAGCACTAAAGGAAGCCTGCATGACACTACAAATTATAAGGATGGAAATGAATCAAAGATGCTCTCTTTTAATAGCACCATAAGCATAAGAAGGCAGCAGTCTGTATCCAAAGTAGCATAGTGACAGAAACTTAAAGAGAGAGAGCATAACTTAAAAAAATGTTCAGGTATTTCAAGAGGTAGAATAATTTTCCTGCTGCTACCTAGACATATGGCTCACTGAGAGAAGAAAACCTTCACTCAGAAAACTGTTTCATCTTTCTCACTTTCAGGTATATACCAAAACGACATCTGCAACTGTTGAGAGAATTATGAAGTCTATTGGCCTATAAAAAGAGTGGGTGGCCCATCAGATAATCAGATGTGTGACTTAAGCCTGCTCTAATCTAATCTCTTATGTTTACTAGATCACAGAAAGAAAATTCACCTTTTGACTTAATTTTCATGCCCTCCTCATAATTATTGCACATAAGTATTAAGTAGTAGCAAGGCAAAGAAATCCTAAACATCGCACTTCTAATGCACTTTCAACATACTTCAGCATGGCTCTCAAAAAATGAAAGTTTCCCAAATCAGCATTACCACTTCCTACCCAAACTCAGGGTGTACTTTCTCCCCTCATGTAACACTGCTTTTGATATATCATCATCGTTTACAGTTGAGATGGCCTCATTGGAAAGAAATTAACTTATAAGGAGTATGCCATAACACTGGCATCTTAAAAAGAACACTGTTGCAGTGAAAAACCTTGTTCTGCAGTATTTCAAGTCTTGTAAAGAAACAGATATTACCTAATCCTTCAAGTAGCTATATTTCATTTTTATTCCCTTTTGTATTGATCAAGCTACAAAAGAGATGCCAAGGAGAAGACATGTAATGGAAAAGGAGACACTGAGATTATGGATATCTAGTTAAAAAATAGCTGAATCATCTCAGGTGAGACAGTCTTCTGACTATAGTTGTGATACAGAAAGCACAAAGAAAGATGAATTGATTGTATGAGACAGGTGCCTTTACAAAAATGGTGATTAGTATCAAGATTCACATCTACATGTGATAGAGAGGAATTAGATGCAACCTCCTACTGACCATCAGCCCAGCAGAAACAGTCCAGGCAGCTCAGAATTCAGTTTCCAACCATATATATTATAGTGGGGGGGGGGGGGGGAGAGCGCATCCCTGTAGGCTTTTATACAATGATTCCTTTTTCCACCCTGGGATTTTAATGTTGCTTTTTTGTATCTTACAAACACAGGTTGGTTTGGGGGTTTTTTGCCCTCCTCCCCCCCACCCCCAATATCCAGTTGAGGAGCTAATCTCATAAAAAGTGAGAACGTAAGCACAAAAAAATCACTTAGTGAAAACATCTGATACAGGTAGAATCTTTTCTCATCCCACTTGGATATACTTCAAGACAGTCTGGACATAGCGGTATGAAAATTTACCACAACAAACACTGGCAAACCAGGCCGAGATGAAATAAACCCATTCCTCAGCATCCATTATTCTACCACTACACACTTTCCACGCATGATAGGCTTGTGTGGAGGGTCATGTAAAAGGTCTGTATGCATACAAAAAGAGTACACATCCATTGATCACATGGCAAGTAGTAAAGAAACCAGATATTCCTATGCAAAACTGTTTGGGACTGGGATGCTTAAAAAATAGACTGAGCTTTGAAATGGATGGGGAAGATAACATGCGTAAGAATGAAGTCTGGAAGCAGAAAAAAGGACCAAACAGAAGACTGAAATGGACAGATTTCTTTTCAGAGAAGCCCCAGAACAGTTCTAAGAGTTTATGAAAAACACCGACGTAATAAAGAAGAAAACATTGTTTAAAATTGATCAAAGAAGGCTCTTCTAAAAAGCTTCTTCGAGTTCATCAGAAAAACAGAGGAAAATCCAAAGATTTTGAACCAAAGATGAGAGAGATTAATCAAGTCCAGTGAATTCAAAGAAGCAGAAGAACAACGTTTCTAAGCACTCCCATGATACTTACGCTCACAAATAGGGACAGCACTACTGGAACCTGAAATCCACACGAGGGGAAAACACAAGTAATAGAGAAATGATTGTAGAAAAGAAGAGAGGCTTGGGACTTCAGGGTATTATGCCCACTATTTGAAAGGGAAGAAAAGAGAGATCATGAGGAAAAGGGAGGATCCTACATCTACAAGTACTTACAGTTTGATGGAGGGAGAGAAAGACTAAGCAGTCCCTAAGGAAACAAGGATAGGTAAGGGTCCCATTCCACTAATGGACAGTTGGCTACATCAGAACTTCAGAAACAATTTTTAAACTATATCCCACAGAAGGGGTACAGATGAAGACAGGCAAAGGTATCTGGATTGTCCTAAAAGATAAAATATATTAACCCTGTGCAGACTGGGATCTGCAGTATTAGTAGAGAATTTCTTTTTATTGGTCTAATTTTTTCCTCTACCTCCCTCTTGTCCTTCTTCTTTACTTCTTTCCTTCTTCCTTCTGAGATACATTAAAAGGAAAAAAGGGAGACATAAGATTAGAAACACAAGTACCTAAAGCAAGGACTAAGAAAGGATTCACCGTTCCTAGTAAGAGGTAAAGATGACTAAGAAAAAAAGTAGAGTCTGGCTATGTATTTTTACCCCCTGTGATTCATGAACTTTATGCCTTCTAGCTTCCTGGTAGCTGGAGCCGTTATGCTTGCTGTATGGAATTTTGTCTTGTAGAATGGGAGAACAGTGGATATGAAACTGACAACCCTTAAAAAGTTCCAATTTACCTTAAGTAAAAATATAAAAAATATCTCCAAGTTTGCATTCTACATATGATCCCTAGCTATAGGGAACGACGCAACACTGACAGATGGGAAATACTAAGATAACATAATATAAATTAGCAAAATTCGATTGGTAATTGTATGAAAATCATGTCTTCTTAAAACGCCTTTCAGAATGAACACTGGTAATTATGGTAGGCCCAAATAAACTCTGATGTCAATAGCAATTTGACAGCTCCTGCAACATTCCAATAAAAAGTTTTTACTTTCTTCCAAAGAATACAAAATGGACTTGACTTTGCTCCAATTTTGAGGGACACTAACCCTCTGAATCTAATGCATCTTTAATAGATTGTAAGAGACTGGTGCTGCGCCATTCTAAATCCACATCCATCTTAATTAAGCAGTTCAGTTACTAACTTCTTAGTAAACCTGTAATTGCATCAGCTAATTTTGTCCTTAGAGCCAATTGCCTATATAGCAGCATATCTGAGCAAATGCAAAAAAGCAATATATTGTAATATTTAAGGAAATGAAACTTACTTCCGAAGTTTGCCTTCAACCATCCATTTATCTCTCCTTAAGTTTGACATATAATCAATGTTTTTATCAATTTCACTGTCAAAGACAAAATAATCCATTAACTGTGAACTTGCATATATTTTTCTGACAGACATTTATGTACAGATACTTTGTCTCAAAGAATTATCTTGGAGAAATGTTTAAAATGCAAAATAAATAGTTTTAAAGCTAGGAAATTCCAATACTAGGAATGCCAATGTAGCGTACTGCTGTATCTATGTCAGGCAGTCTTTATTTACAGTATCAAGTAAGCTTTCATTCCACAAGAAGCATGTCATTCAAAGAATTTTACATTTCTTTCCATAGTTCTAATTCAATGTCAGGCCACCAGACATATTTGCCACAAAGCATCTAGCCCTGCACTGAAAACAAAGTTATCAGTGGTATATCTATGGCATTCTAACTAGGATCCATGTGATCTACAAACTAATGTTCACTTTTCACTGCAGAAATTGAATAACAAAGTGCTTCAGTACAGTGACCATCTGCGAGCCCACTTCTGAGACATCCCAGCCTTAACAATTTAGCAGGTTATAGTTGTTTCTGATTTCATCTGTATGATGAAAATATAGAAACTCAAGTTCTGAATGACCATTTCTACAAATCCGACTTAACAGTTGGTCATCTGCAATAAGAAACAGTTCCTTACTATGATGAATTTGATTAATACACAGGAACTCTCTTGCACAGTACACGCACAGCACTTGTAATGCCCACTTCTGCTATTTTTCAACTTTGGAAAACACGAAGCATCTCTTTGATTTGTGACTTATACAACCCTGATTCACTTTTGCAGCACAGTACACCAAAAGCAGCAGAATTCACCAGGAAACAAAACAGCACTCAACCAGGTGATAAAAGACTTTACCACAGTAAGTACACGGAGGTATAGGTATCCCAAAGACTGGCATTTCCTAAGTTTTTATTGCACGTTGTTGGGTTTTAAAATGTTGTTTAACATAGGGTTGATTTTTTAAAATTATGAAATGCTATACATTACTGACCACAAATGAAGTACACACTTTCTTGAATTACCACCATGATAAATCAGGCTTGCCACATCAGCTTATAACCCTAGTTAAAGTATTTGGACAAAAGAGGTCTTAAAAAACAAAAGGAAAAAAAGAAGAACGGAGTACTGCAAAAGCCTTATACAGCTCTTCTGAATTATTCCCTAGAATACCTAGCAAATTTCTTTGTTATCAACTTCATCTTTTACTCCAAAAATAGCTGGAGAAATTTTGGTGCAAGCTTTGAAAACAAACTTACAGACCAAACATGGAAAAGTTCTACTCTTCCATCATATCAGGAGTACATAAAGGTAAGAAGCAGTAACATAGCAAATTTCAGCTTTCATTATAAACACATCAAGAATCCTCCTGCAACAGAACACAGTGCATACAGTATTTCTAAACTATAACATTTTTGTAATTTTATTTTTACAGATCAGTTTGGGAAAAATCTTACCTTACTACACTTTTGCTGCACGCTAACTCATTGACAAGAAAAGCAAGTACTGATGCTTTCTGAGCTGGAGTATGTGCCTGAAAAGCTTTTGTCTTCAAGCTTTCTGTCAGCTCAGTTTGCCCACAGTGAGCCTCCATGAATATCTGCAGAATCTCAGACACATTATCTCGATTGATACCAACATTTAATAAGTGTTCCCCAAGAATAGTTTTAGCCTAAAAAGAATAAAGATATTTCGAACAATCACATTTAAAAATATTATTTTCCTCTGCAGGCTATATTATTGTTTATAAAACAGTGGGGTGGGTTTGTTTGCATTTTTACATAAGGACTTTAATCAGGATTTTTCTTTAAAACTATTCAAATGTAGATCTTGAATAGAATAACAAATTAGAATGTCTTCACCTCCAAGTTTTTAAGAACAGAGGTAATATTAATGAAATAGGTTAAATGAAAAAAGACATGGTCCAACTGGAATTTGATGAATACTGTTTTGTACAATCATGTTATGTAGAGTTCTAGAGTAGAAAAGAGCTACGTTGGCTTGAAAAAGAAGGATAATAAGAAAGAGAATCATGAATGAATAAGTTTTGATGAAGTGATGTAGAGAGCGGACTTTGGAGAAAGAAATGGCAAGATTCACTGAGAGTATAACATGAGGGTAAGAATGAAAGGGGGAGGGGGGAAGGGGGAGTTAAAAGACGTAGACACAGATGTGATAGTACCTTACAAGAGGTCCAAATAAAAATGGGGGAGGGTAGAGAAAATGCCCAGAAATATACCACTTCTGGAAAATGGGAAAGCTGACAGGGCACAGAAAGTCTTTGAGCAACATTAGAACAGTGACACCAAAGAGAAGAATTAGGAAAGAGAATGGAAATCCAAATCAGAGTGGTGTCAAAGACGCATTATGAAGAATGCATTCATAAATATAGGGTGTTTACTATGGATTTTTTTTTTTCTTTTTTTTTTCTTTTTTACCTTGTATCCTGTAACAAGTCCTGGATCACAAACAGCTGCAGAGACAAGCTTTACAAGCAAGTCTTGTACTTCTCCCATGCTGTCCCCTATGTTTAGCAAACCCTCTTGAAGAACACTCAGGGAAGGGACATCCACATTCACATCAAAGCCAAGAACTTTACCAAAGTTACGCAGGAACTGCACTACCATGAGACAATCTGAAAATGTGCTTCCATCGAGAACAAGGCCTGGGATGCGAGGCAACTCTGGCAAAGGCTGAAAAGTAAAGAAAAGCAATGAAAGATTCAGTAGTGTACTTCAAAAGAAAACTTTTTTGATACTAGCTAGGGAAATTGGCCGATACTTCCATATGACCTATGGCATGACAATGCTAGGAGGCAAAGGCTACAGAGAAGCTGCCCCCCCATATCCCATCCAGTAAATTTAATTGAAAGCTGAAGCACATTTACCTTCTCACATGTTATAGGAGACAAGAGATTAATAAATACTTACTTTTTGGCCAGAAGACGCCCTCAGGCTCTATTCTGAGCCAAAATACTATAGAAGGTGGAATAAAAATATATGGGGCACACAGGGAGGGCAATTCTCTGGAACAGAGAGGGCTTGAACCTGAAGTATGTCAAGTCCTGACAGACAAGAACTAAGAACACAGAAGACTGGGAGAGTAATTTTTTTGAGTAACAGCTTAGAATAGTTGCACATATGAGAAAAGCTCTATCTAGTGCCCATGTACTGAGACACAACGCATTTTGCTGTAAAAAAAAATCAGAGTAATCAATTTTTTTTGAAGCAATCATGCAAGTGCTTTTTGGGAAGCAGGCGACTTTTAAACAAAATGCTTTTAATGAACTAAACATATGCTACTTTAGTGTTTGTAGTATCTTGCATTTGTATATATTTCAGATAGTTATCTAATTATCTAGACCAAAACTTGAATGCTTTGGGAGTGGCTGCAAGAAAAAAAAAGTTATTGTCACAATGGCAAAATACAGAAACGAGGCAAGAAAATAAGTTTACATTATGATGATTACCTTCTGGTCTGCTAAGCACATATCTTCATTAGGCTTCTTTAGCTCCTTTGCCATTTCTAATTCCAGTCGTCGCTGTTCCAGTTTACGTTCTTTATTTAATCTTTTTTCAT